TATATATATATATATATATATATATATATATATATATATATATATATATATATATATCCCAGACTTTCTGTTATTATTGAGTCTGTGTGAATATTATGTTAGTGATAATAACCCCTTTCCCCTAGAAAAGGGTTCATCATGTTAATTAAATCAATAAACTCCTCTTTTCTTTCTTTTCTTGTTATTTCTCTGTATAAGAAAAATAAGACACCATCACGTTGAAGAAACACATGAAGAAGGGAGAAAGACAGCAGAAAATAATAATAATAATAATAATAATAGTGATAATCCTCTGGAATTGAGGGAAGATTGTTTTATTTATGATCGCCGTTATGTTCTCAACTCGCTTCTCTGTGCATTGCGGTATTTGGCCCACGATGGAGATGCCACTCGTGCGAGATTAGAAATAGAATCTATGTTCAATAATGTTTGCGAGGCCCATTGGCAGCGTCTACCACAGATGAAACCTTCTTCTTCTTCTTCTCATTCTTCTTATTATTATTCTTATTCTTATTCTTATTATAATAATAATTGTACAGATGAGAAGAAAAGTGAGGAAGAGAGGATGTTGATATTTCTTCATAATTTGTCTGGTCTCTCTCACAGTGAGAGTGAATGGGAAGAGACGGCGTTATTACCATCTACATTACTGTATATAGTTTATTACTTAGTATGTAGACAATGCCCTCTAATTAGAGAAGAAGAAGAAGAAATGAACTCTACACACAGTCGATGGGTTTATCTCTTCTTTTTTCATCAACAACAACTGCAAAACACACCAGTGAGAAGAACACGAAATATACCTTTTACAACAACAACAACTACTACTACCAATAATAATAATAATAATGATAATAATAATAATCATCATACTAATAGTATGAATAGTAATAGTAATAACGATGAACGTAAAATATCTTTGTTGATCCTTCGCCAACGTTTGACGGAATTTCTCTCTCATTTCTACAGTCAACAACATTCCACACGTATTCTCAAGTTTGTCGATGCCTATCATGCCTGGTTAATGCGGGATTATCATTCAGTTCTCAACAATTCTTATCAACAAGAAGAAAAAGAAAGAGAAAAAAAAAGAGAAGAAAAAGAAGAGGAATATCTGCAGGAAACTTCATCATGTGTACAAACATCATCTCTACTCATGTGGATTGTTTATCGAGTTTCTTGGTTTATGCATGCCTGTGCACTTATCGCAACAAGGAATATTGTCCATGCCGCCGTAAGAGATGAGATGGAAAAGAATATACATTTGAGAAACTTCAACGTTGAAGAACTGCAGATGAATAGAATGAACGTTCATTTAAATTCTTACTTGGATTCATCATTATCTTTATTAAAAACAGGAGAAGTATCATTAACACTATCTCAACAAACAACACCATCTTTACTAGAACGCATTTACAATATCTTCAAAGAGGAACTCTTTCATAAGAAGAAAACCCATCATCATAATCATAATGATAACAATAATGATATCAGCAAGAACACGAATGAGAATATGTACATGGGTGATAAATCTCAGGAGATTGAGGAAAAGGATAAGAGTTCTATCGTATCTAGTTCTTTTTCTTTTTCTTCTTCTTTGAACTCATGGCAAGATGTATTTCTATTTGGATTGCGTGTTTGGCTGCGGGCTAAACAATACACAGATGCGGGAAGTATGTATACATCCAGAGATCTTCTCTTACACAGTATGGAGAATCTCTACAAGAAGAAGGATTACTTTTTCCTCACATTGTCTACACCTCCTCATACAAATGGGAGTAGTGAAGTCAATATGTTTAAAAAGGGAATAGATATGAAAGTTCGTCTCTTATCATTTCAATGGCTTCAACAGTTATTTTTTGTAAATTGTGCGGCTCTTGCAGATACCACAACTTTATTCTCTTTTCTACAAGAATTAGAACGACCCTTATCTCTTATGGAGGTATTTTATATTGCCTCTTGTCCAACACTTGCGGCTGGTGGAGTTCATTCTTCCATACTCACATCCTATACTCTCTTTTTTAATGAGATGCGATCTTCACATGGGATGTTAAACATAATGATGGACACTTTAGACTATTTACCACTTCCTGTACAAATACAATTATTAGGTCATTCTATTTGGCAACAACGAAGAGTACTTTTACATGAATTACCACGATCTCAGGAAGAAGGTATTATTTATAGTGAACGTCGTTTATTCGTACAGTGGGAGTTATTACGTCTTTGCGAGGTAATTGTTCATCGTGTATGTGGATTATTTGGATCATTAGAGTTATCATTTACAGACTTTGCTCCTCATCGTATTCTCTTTGATGCTATTACGATTGCCTGTGATGTGCAGGAGGATATGCTTAGAGGTGCTGCAGAACCAATAAGAGAAGTTCTCTCCTCTTCATCATCATTCTCCTCCTCCTCCTCCATGAGTTCTTCCTCTTTTCACAGCAGTAATAATAATAATAATAATAATAATAATAATAATAATAATAATAATAATAATAATAAGAGGAAGAGGAGGATGAAGAAGATGATGATAAGAAGAAGAAGTAATAGTGAAAGTGAAAGTAGAAATGGTTTGGGAACGATTGGGAGATCAGAGGAAGTTCCTATATTTTCTAATGCTCCTATGGAAGACAATGAGACATCTCTAACTAAATCCCCAGATAACATGGCCACACCATATTTGTTAAATAGACAATATGAGAATCATGATAATCATAATAATAATAGTAATAATGATAGTGATAATGAGAGTAATAGTTGGTTGGCTGTGAATTTTGCCTCCAGAACACATCCTCAATCTTCACAAGATAATTCTATCAATACATCCTCCTTATCTAGTATAGATACGATTTGCACAACTACACCACAGGAACTCTATTGGTTTGCCCATAATAGTACCATACAGTGGATGAGTCTTCTTGAACAGCATTATCCACATTTGCCTCTCTCTTTACAAATATGTCGTATGCGAATAGCGGCAGCGGCTTTTGATAAATCCACATTACGATTAGCACGAGAATTATTGAAAACATTTCATCATAATGCTTTAGCAAAAGCCCATAGTGCGATGGCACTCTTTGCAAGTCTTCATATTGTACATGCAGAGCGATGTATTCGTGAGGCACTTCAGCAGTATCCACACTCTGTGGAAATACAACGTCTTCAACGGGTTATTTGTGGTAATGAGGGTATTATAGAAAATATGAGAAGAGATGCTAAACATGAACAAGAAGATACAGCACGAATGAAATTATTAAAAGAAAAGATTCATCCTATTTATATTTACCGTTATCGTGGAGTTCTTCCTTTACAATATGCTATTTCCAGACATAAAGGTATTTTACCCTATATCTCTTTATCTCTTATATTTCTATGTACTCTCTTTTTGGGATTGAGTCTTTTATTACATATAAGAGATAGTCAATCGACAGATCTCGATTATAATGATAAATCCAATATCTGGGATAGTAATAGTAAAAGTGAGAGTACTAGTAGTAGTAGTAGTAGTGTTAAGAATAATAATAATAACAGAGATACTGCAGAGTATAGATGGTCTTTTAAATTACCATTTGTTTTACCAATATATTTAGGGTTTGGTATCTTGATTTACGGTATATGTGCAGCATTAATAGTTCCTTTCTTTGTAGAGAAAAATAAGCAGAAAGAAAAGGATAAAAGTAGATGGGAAATTATATCAAGATTTCTTCGAATTCTTATGTATAATGCATGTCTTGTTAATGATGTTTCTAATCGATTTGTTTTTTGTTTACGTGGTTTGCCTTTAATAAATTTTGTGATTGTATGCCAACTTGTTGTGAGTAATGCGATTCGAATGAATCATCATACCAAAGAAGAGTCTTCTTGTAATGATGATATTAATAATAATAATAATAATAATAATAATAATAATAATAATAATAATAATAATAATAATAATAATAATAATAATAATAATAATGAATGTGATCGTATCTTTACAGAATGGAGTATACTTTCATTACTTATGATTCTATTCATACTTGTAATGAATATTCTTTTTTATGGACGTATTTGGCGATTATTACGTAGCTATGATATTATAAAAGGAGCACTTCCAACGTTTATCACAGTATTTCTTATGGATTTTATTTTTTTTATTATAAATTTTCCTTTTTTATTCTTTTCATCTGTGTTGTTGGAGCCTTTTCTATTTCTTATCATGATCCTTTTCAGTATTCCAACATTTTTACCGCTGAGAATGGAGATGTTGGTCCTATGTGAACATTACCCAACTATTCCAGATGATGAATGGTTGGCCCCACAGGCATTAAACCAAAATGGAGATCATTCAATAACCTCTACTACTACCACTAGTAGTAGTACTAATAATAATAATAATAATAATAATAATAATAATAATAATAATAATAATAATAATTCTCTTTTTTGTATTGAAATGAGATTAAAATTATGTAAACAACTTTTAAAAAGTTTACCACCATTACATTGGTTACGAAAACAAAGGCATGATTGTCCAATTCTCTGTGCACATCTCTTGTCTAAACCACATTTAACATATAATGGGGATTTATCATTTTTTTCTTATCTTATTGCTGTTATTATATGTTCTTTGGCAGGATTAGCATCTCATGGTATTGGATGTTGTCTTTTATTAAATCGTATATTTTACTGGCGAACACATCGGGAGCCTTGGCAAAGTGTATCTGCTATTCAAGTGGCACTTTTACGTGAAACCTGTTTGGCAATATTTCCTGAGATTTCTGAAGTTTCCTCTATGCACAATAGTGAATTAATAGTTAATAATAATAATAATAATAATAATAATAATAATAATAATAATAATAATAAATATCCGATGTCCAGTAATCACATTACATGTATCACTCCAGTTCAAAAGGGGAAAACCATTTCAACAGTCCCATATGGATAAGGTATGAAAGTCTGTTGGCTAACGGATGGAGTGTTTTTTTTTTTTTTAATTAATTATTAATTATTACTTGCGATGATATAATTCTGGTTTTTGTTTTTTGTTTGCTTGTTGTCTCTCTCTCTCTCTTTCTCTCTCTTTGGATGTGTGATGCCTTTGAAGAGTGTGGGTTTGAGTAAGGGTGTGAACTCGTTCGTTATTCTTTTTTTTTATTTTTTATTTTTTTCTTTTATAAATATTTTTGTTTTTGGAGTTCATATTTCACAGTCTGTTCATATGTATATATATATATATATGTGGTTTTATATTCAATAAAAGTGCCTGTCTCTCTTGTTGCTTGAATTTCCCACTATTTCCTCTTTTTTTTCTTTTTTTTTCTTTTCTTTTGTAGAGAAAAAGGTACTCATCTACACACAGTCGACAACCCACATCCCTCAAAGAACTTCTTATGGGCAAAAAACAAAGGACGCGGTTCTCCGCTATTCTTCTTTTCTTCTTCTTACTTGTTCTTCTGTTATGGACAGGATGTCCTGCAGTTGCTCAAACAACTGAGAAGGCTAAGATGTATACCTACGCGATACTCAATTTGCCGTATAATCCCACTGAGTCAATGGCGGTAACCGCATCGAAACGATGTGCACAAAATGGTATGCATCTTGCCATGCCAAATAAACTTGCAAAGGCAGTTGTTATGGAGAAACTCATTTCACAATATGGTCTTCAATCAACTCGAATTCTCTTTGGTGGATATGCTTTGGCCTGCCCCACTTATACTTCGCTGTATTTTCTTGTACCTTCATTTAATTTCTCGGTATATCCTGTGAAGGGTAGCGTAGAAGAGTGTAATGCACTGCTTGGGGTAGGAGAAGGTGTGGAAAAGGTTTGCAGTTTAAACAATACTTCACTGGGAACACCTATTTATCGTTTTGATAATAATAAAACCGTAAAAGACTGTAATGGACCGATTGAAATGGATTATGACCCTGTGAAGCGATACCAGTTAAGTCCTCCGTCGGCTCACAGTCACCCATTATTGGGATGGAGTCTAAAGGAGGGAAAGGGTGGGGAAGTTATGTTTATGTGGGAGAATATCTGTGCTCATGATGATCCATCCTGTAAAGAAGAAGAAGAAGGAGGAGTGTTGACGTCAGTGGAGTACGTTATGTGTGAATGGGAGAGTGAAGTGGGAAAAGAAACCGTCGACTTCCAGGTTGGGAGTTTACCAACCATATACCCGACTGTGGCGACTCGCACAGATGCCCCTAATGACCCTATTCCGACTGAGTCGAATCCATTCGACGATAACTCTGAAAAGAAACATGAACACAATGATGTGTGGATTATTATAGGTGTGGCAGGCTCTTTTTTCTTCTTTATCATTTTAGTGATCATTGTTGTCGCACAGTTTTGCATTGCAAGAAATCATGCTGAAAGAATCATACGCACTGAATCCATGCGTAGCAGTAGTATGTACGGTGGATCTCAGCGAGGAAGCTTTGGTGGGGGCTCTATGTCTTCCAGAAGGGGAAGCTTTGCCAGTAACCCCGGAGGTACCAGCGGTTATCTCTACCAAAAACAAGGATCAAGTCGAGGAAGTTTTAATGGAGCTCCCATGTCTCGACAAGGAAGTTTTAATGGAGCTCCCATGTCTCGACAAGGAAGTTTTAATGGTAATCCCATGCAACGACAGGGAAGTTACAATGGGAACTTATCTCGACAAGGAAGTTTCAGTGGTTATCCTTCACAACAAGGAAGTTTCAGTGGCTATCCTCCACAGCAAGGGTATGCTGTTCCTTTACAGCGACAAGGAAGCTTCAGTGGTTATCCTTCACAACAAGGAAGTTTCAGTGGTTATCCACCACAGCAAGGGTATGCTCCTCCTTTGCAGCGACAAGGAAGCTTCAATGGTCCTCCCTTGCAACGACGAGTAAGTTTCACTGATGATCCTATACAACGACAAGGAAGTTTCAGTGGTGGTTCATCGAGACAAATGGCCCCGCCTGTTAACAATGCAGCACGTCGAAGGATAAGTAGTGGTGCTAGGTAATATTAAGTAAGTATACTACCCTGTAGTAGTGCATTTGTGATTAAAAGTGCCCTGAAATTTATCTAGAATCCTCTAAAAAAAGTTTTTTTCGGGCACGAAGGGTAATGTTTTTAGAGCAGGTTTTTTTTTT